CGGGGAATACTAGAGACTATGGGCTTTTTAACGAGTTTTCATTATATCCTCAAAATATTATCATGGACTTGGCCAGTCTTGGCCTTCTTTTTTTTAGAAGTACGAGCACTTGTTGAGCGAGCGAGCTTTTGATTGCAACTACCATGACTTCCTCCAGAATAGTTGCGAAGGATAGGAAAGGCTCCTCTGAGAATAAGTGAATTGTACTTCCCAATGACAGAAACTATTTTGCAGAACTGCTCGCTTGAGAATTCTCTTGTGTGAACCTCTTTCCTTTGAGTTACAAGTCCTATTGCATTTGAAGAGAGTTCAAACTTCTTTAGGTACAAACTCGCACTTCTCGGTAATTTCCTCGCTAATCACACGGCACTTCCTCGTTACATTTCACAAATTCAGCAGTCGTTGGGAAGTAATTAGGAATTGAGAAACACTCGAATCTTGTTTCAGACTGAAAATTCGCCCATTTTGGAAAACAAAGTTATGATTATTTGGATACGCGCTCAATTTTCCACATGTTTCCAAGGCATGGGTTGCAAGTGCAATCGCATCTCTTGAGAAGTCGTCTGTACGCAAATTAATTTGCTACTTGGGCGAGGGGTCGTATGGCTCCCCCTGATACAGATGATGGTGTGGGCGTCGAAGCCCCGGGCGTGAGGCCGTGAAATTTTCGAGAAGAAATATCAACGCTAAAACCTTTCCCCGTACAGAATAGCAGCCACCATAGGATATCGAGTTTGTAGCGTTCGAATGCACAGTCTTTCCTTTAACCAGAAAATCGTAAATTGGCAACTCACCCGTTTTTCACCGCAAAACATGAACATGTCTGCTAAATCGAATGATGCGGTCAGCTCGATCGCCTAAAAGTATTTAAAAGAAGAGCATGTTAATCTAACAAGATACGAAGTCTGCTTAATAAACGTGAAAGAGGCATTTACAGGCTATCATCACTAAGTGAAACGAACAAAATCTATCAGCACCTTTGGCGCGTATTCGGGCTTTAAGTTTTGCGCACGTACCGTATTTGAATAGGATTACATGGAATCATTTATCACACTAATGATATCGCTTTGCGCGTTTTCTCGGCATTTCTTTTTGAATTTTTCCAAAACCAATACTACCCTTCATTTATTTCCACTGGTAATTAAGATTATATTTTGTAGAACAGCTTTGAAGCATAGCAAATACCAGGTGAATCAAGCAGCTCTCATCCGCGCAACCTAGCGCGCACCACGCCTTCTTCATTGTGGCCTTCAAGGAGTTTTGCGTTTATCTTGTCCAAAACCAGACCTCTATTGCCACCGATACCATTTGGTGATAACCATAAATCCAGTAAGTGTTAATCCGAGTTTCTTTATCACCGCTCAACTCCGTTTTTCTTCATTTCATTTCATTACATTATATGCAGGTAACGTCATGTTATATACCCCCCAAGATTAGACCACTGGAGTAATCAATTGGTGTATAGGATGAAGCTGTTCGCGAAGGTTGCGATGCACGCGGCTCGAAAACTTCGACAAGAGCGATACAACATTGCAATGCTCCTGATTAGTGCCCATGGGTGGTGCTCCTATCACCCACAATGCAGCGGCCGTAAACTGTGCCTCCTGATACATTGTGTTCTTCAGCGTAATCCCGCTTATCTGCGCGATGTCCCTCGACGTACCACTGCCGGAATTACAGAAATTCTGAGCTAGTGAGTTTAGCGTTTATGATAGTTCCTTTTGCTTTTTTCTTTAATTTCTCCATTTCCCAGCTTCACGTTTATTATTAAGCCATTCTTTATTAGTTCATCCAATTTTATCCTAGGTCATACTTTATATGCCCTGTTTTCGCATCATACGTAAATCGGTAGAATAGTCAAAAATGAGTGGGGAGGGTAAGCATCACTAAAAAATATTGAGTAAGATTTATCTTTCGGGAAACCACTTCTCGCTCCGAAACCACTTGAGGTTCATACTCCATTCAATCAAAGCGCAAGATGGGTACAGCTTCTGTCGCCTTGCATGCTCCAATCATGCCTAACTATCAGTGCAAGCTACCAACACATTTCTTGTCTCAATCGATGATTCCCTCATCTGATTCACGATCACATATTGATCCTTTTCTAAAGATATACTTGGCCTGGAACTCATTATATCCTTCCCAGCGAAACAAGGACTTATCCTGAGTGCTCTTGCTTCTGGACACGGCTGTGAATTTTGCCTGCTCAATCGTGCTATTCTGCGTTTGTTGGGTTTAATTTGAAGAGTCTTCTATCTTTCCTCACTGCCTTCACAGGGGTTCATGTCAGCAGGAACGTCCGGATCCCCGCGCTTTGTTCTTGGCCACGTCACATCTGCAATGGACGAGTTTCTGTGCGCATTTTCGAATCAAGCAATAGGCGGATAGTTTCCGTTCGGATTTTTCTTCTTTCCGCTTTTTTTCAACACTGCGATGATAAACCTTGAAAACAAACTTGTTCACGTCATTTTTGATGGAACAGCCAGAGCAAGTAACTTGTAACTTGATACCCGCGTCCCACAGATTACTCAGGACAGCAAGAAATCCACTATCCCAGCGTAAATTCAAAAACCTGCGTCCATCCAAAAATTATCACGTCGCGATGCTGCGCAAGTGGCCAACGGCGGGCAACTACCAAGCGATTCTTGGCCGCTCCCGCTTCACGGTAAAAGGTTGACGAAGCAGATGTAGATTAGAGTTCTTTCATTCGTTTATATATACTTAAGCAGAAGGTTGCCGAAGACAGGCAGATTTTTGGCCACGGACTTGACCTTCATTTGTGCAGCATAGCCACTTGAGGAGCCTGCGAAATGATGACCCTTCTACTAGAGATTCACCTTGATATGCTCGCTCGAGATACTAGACAAAGTCTTAACGTTCGACTAACACAAGTCCTGGTTTTGTTTGGGTGCAACAGGAGTGCAGTTCAAATAAATAAATAAATAAATCTCAGCATCGTCGTTCCTATCCAGGAGCCGAAACCGAGGAAAAAGTTCGACATACAATCTCCATTGACAAGCAGTTCAAGCAGTTGCTTGAAGCCAGCTTGCTTCTGTTTTCATTGCTTCTTCCCTACCTACAGTTGTTATTTTTCCTTATTTCATTCTCACGATTGGGTTACTACTACTCAAGTCATGAGGAATCGCATAACTGTAAACCCTTATACTCGGCATCATAAGGTACTCTCTGAGTGTATTCGAATACAAAAAATAAATCCAATAAAACAGAACACGACTCCATAGCTACCCATGTAATGCACTGATAATGAGAGTAGTTTGAGGATACCCCAGCACGCTGATTACCTCTTTAGAATGACTCTTTATTGAATACGCCACTCGAATCGGATTCCTTACGGTAGCCGCTCGCGGATCCAGTAGCGTACCGCTGATTGTTATAGGACATTGTATCAACGGCACCCGACATAAGGGCACCACTGATCTTACGGTACTCATGCCGTCCGCCCTGAAATCATTCCAATAGTATTTCAAACGATAAAACTTTCCTATAAAGTTGAATCCGTTCTATATTAATGAAGCTGGAGTAGAGAATCAGATAACTGTAAACCCTTACATTCTTGACAGAATCCCATCAAACATGAACCTTACAGCAATATCAAAACATTAGGTTGTAAGAAAAGTTCGTGCCGTTTGTGGTCCTGAATTACAAATGCGCATATCTTGACTCAAGCACAACGTTTTCGCTCGTAATAGGAACCACTACAATCCACTCTTCCTTGTCAGCATGAAATTTTTTGATCCATTCGTTCGCTAGAAGTATTGGAGTTCTAGAGGTGATGAACTCGTTTCACCATCATGCTAGATTGCGTACATTTCTCTCCTGAGGGAATCCAGACAATTGAGAATATGAAATTGCATAGAGGGGTCTAGTGAGCTCAACGTTTGTGGTACAGTTCAGTACCCCAACTAGTCCATTTTTTGCAGAGTCGGTACTGCGGTTGGCGGTTGAGGTACATTGCGGAGATGGGTCGCTCCTTTCATGGCGGGTCCTGCTGGGGATATTTTTAAGGTTTCGCTGTACTTGGACACCCTGTCAGGAATACTGTCCAACTGTAATAGTTTCGCCCGCGCTCGGGGAGCTGCGCCTGCTGCGGGACGCAGGGCAGCACGACATTCTCCCCGTAAAGTTTCACCTTCGTAAAGTTTTTTTTTTGACCCTAGTCGCGATCAAACAACTCGGCTGAGGTTTCCGTGCGAGCTGTTGCGAAGAATTGTTATCGAACGTCACAATCCCTACGAAAAAGGGGTCGTTTTCGTTGGATGAGAGAAGGTAGAGGAAGGCAGACTCCTCGGAATCGCGAGCATTGCCGGTGGCCTCTTACTAACCTTTTCGAACTTTTTGGCCCGCTCCGTGTGATTTCAAATCACAAGTTAACCACGTTTATCCCAGTAGCAGCCTTCTCAATAATTCTAAGCACATTTGGTTCCATCAAATTTTTCGAATAAATGTCGCGAAAGCGCACATTACTGTCAAAGGCGGGCCCAATGGGCGGGGCCTCCGGGCAGGTATAAAAGGGCTCTGCCATGCCAGTCAGGCGGCGTCAGTGTCGGTCGTCGGTCGTCAGTCAGCAGCTCTACGGTCTTCCTAGCCGTCCTCGCAGCAGCCCGCCATCTTCTGTCAAGCCATAGCTCCAAGCGCCCCGATGGCCCCGGACTGGACAACTAGGAACGGTAATAGGAACGTACGATGTTCCCCTATGTGCATTATCGATTGATTGTAAATGTGTTAGAGGTAAAAGGTTTAGATTATACGAGTTCCATGACACGACACATATGTGCACACACTCATAGGCTAGGATTCACCAAATCCTAGACATGGTGCATCGGCCGGGAATCGAACCCGGGCCGCCCGCGTGGCAGGCGAGCATTCTACCACTGAACCACCGATGCGAAAAATCTTTCACGAAGGTTCGATATCCAACGACCATCCTCACCACTTGGACCCCTCACTAGCCTTACGCAAGTTTCCAAAACTAACACCTGCGCGGCACATATCTCGAAAATGCGAGTAAATGAATAATTCATATGATAAACTAATTCCGCTTCTTTCTGCCCTTCAAGTTGGAGGATTTGGATCCAGGATTTGCTCGTCGAGCATGCTGTGTTCAAAGCTCTGAAAAAGTGGTAGCTCGTTCTAGAGTCAAGACCACAGTATTACTGGATAGGGCAAGAACGTGCTTTCTGATGGTTATGCAAAATTAGCAATCTGCCAAAAGGTTAACCCATTCGCGACCGCGCCGGTTTGCGCATTAGCAGGAGAGTTAGGAGATTTTTCTTCAATAAAATTTGAGTGGATGGAGATTTCCTCTGCCCAGGGCTGGCGTAGATGAATGAGGGTATGAAGATTCTTTTTGAAAGAAAACTTTCCAAATTCCATTTGAAACACGGCAGCCACCGGTGGATACCATTGTCCCGAGTGAGATCTTTGTCAGCCACCGGTGGCTGCCATTGTCACGAATGGGTTAATAAGAACTTATGCACGGAAACTTGAACTGTCACAAAGACAAGAACTTTCCTTCCAACCTAATATTTATAGCACTACTTACCCTTTTCTGCCCCTCTCTTCTAAAATAAGTTCGTCGCAAAGTTCCTTCCCAATGGTAAATTGGCTACAAATCAGGCCACGGGGACCTTACATGGAGATCAAGAGTACTAGAACTGCTCGGCGCAAAAGCGCCTGGGCTAACTTCATCACTTTCGTTTCGCACCTGTGACCATGATATGAGTTGCAGACGGATGAGATGTTCGTGCTACCTGGGTGAGTACCCCCGGAAGCAACCTTATAGACAATATAGAGGAACGTTAAAAGGACACGTTCCAAGACAAATCGTGCTAAATCTCTGACATAAAAGGACCTCTAATCTGCAAGGGGAACATATTCAGTAGTCTTTGAATTTCTTCGCAACCAGAAATGATAATTGGACATTGCATTTCATGTGGCGGATGGCATGCAGTACCCCCGTAAGATCAGTGGTGCCCTTATGTCGGGTGCCGTTGATACAATGTCCTATAACAATCAGCGGTACGCTACTGGATCCGCGAGCGGCTACCGTAAGAAATCCGATTCGAGTGGCATATTCAATAAAGAGTCATTCTAAAGAGGTAATCAGCATGCTGGGGTATCCTCAAACTACTCTCATTATCAGTGCATTACATGGTAGCTATGGAGTCGTGTACTGTTTATTGGATTTATTTTTTTGTATTCGAATACACTCAGTAGAAGTACCGTATATGTATGCCGAGTATAAGGGTTTACAGTTATGCGACCCCTCATGACTTGAGTAGCAGTAACCCAATCGTGAGAATGAAATAAGGAAAAATAACAACTGTAGGTAGGGAAGAAGCAATGAAAACAGAAGCAAGCTGGCTTCAAGCAACTGCTTGAACTGCTTGTCAATGGAGATTGTATGTCGAACTTTTTCCTCGGTTTCGGCTCTTGGATAGGAACGACGATGCTGAGCCTTGCTCATTACGGACGAATTTATTTATTTATTTATTTGAACTGCACTCCTGTTGCACCCAAACAAAACCAGGACTTGTGTTAGTCGAACGTTAAGACTTTGTCTAGTATCTCGAGCGAGCATATCAAGGTGAATCTCTAGTAGAAGGGTCATCATTTCGCAGGCTCCTCAAGTGGCTATGCTGCACAAATGAAGGTCAAGTCCGTGGCCAAAAATCTGCCTGTCTCCGGCAACCTTCTGCTTAAGTGTATATAAACGAATGAAAGAACTCTAATCTTACATCTGCTGTTCGTCGTCAACCCTTTTATCGTGAAGCGGGAGCGGCCAAGAATCGCTTGGTAGTTGCCCGCCGTTGGCCACTTGCGCAGCATCGCGACGTGATAATTTTTGGATGGACGCAGGTTTTTGAATTTACGCTGGGTTAGTGAATTTCTTGCTGTCCTGAGTAATCTGTGGGACGCGGGTATCAAGTTACAAGTTACTTGCTCTGGCTGTTCCATCAAAAATGACGTGAACAAGTTTGTTTTCTTTGAATTTTTTTTTATCCATCGCAGTGTTGAAAAAAAGCGGAAAGAAGAAAATCCCCGAACCGAGAACTATCCCGCCCTCCGATTGCGCTTGGATTTCTAAAATATTTCGCCGACAACATCGTTTCAGTTGCTAAGCATGTGACGTGTTGCCAAAACAGCAAACGCGCGAGATCGCCGTCGCTTGACATCTGAGCAGCACCTGTGAAGCATAGTGACGATTAAGATAGATTATATGTATTTTTTTTCGTGATAGTGGAAACACGACAACTCCAGAATGCACTAGTGAGCAGGGTTCAAAATATTCACAGTCTCTGATTCTAGACAAGCAACACACTCAGCATAAGTCTTGTTCGCTCGACGCACAGGATATAATGAGTTCCAGGCCAAGTAGATTTTAAAAAGGATCAATATGTGATCGTGAATCAGATGAGGGAATCATCGATTGAGACAAGAAAATGTGTTGGTAGCTTGCACTGATAGTTAGGCATGATTGGAGCATGCAAGGCGACAGAAGCTGTACCCATCTTGCGCTTTGATTGAATGGAAGTATGAACCTTAAGTGGTTTCGGAGCGAAAAGTGGTTTCCCGAAAGATAAATCTTTTTTATCAATATTTATGATGCTTACCCTCCCCACTCATTCTTGACTATTCTACCGATTTACGTATGATACGAAAACAGGGCATATGAAAGTATGACCTAGGATAAAATTGCATGAACTAATAAAGAATGGCTTAATAATGAACGTGAAGCTGGGAAATGAGTAAATTAAATTGAATAAAATCACATCAATGGACTATCATTATATATCGTTCTATAACTCAATAGCTCAGGATATTTTTTCTGTAATTCCTGGCAGTGGTACGTCGAGGGACATCGCGCAGATAAGCGGGATTACGCTGAAGAAACAATGTACGAGGAGGCACAGTTTACTTCCGCTGCATTGTGGGTGATAGGAGCATCACCCATGGGCACTAATCAGCAGCATTGCAATGTTGTCACCACCCCGTCTTTTATTCGTTGTTTATCGCTCGGTCGATAGTTTCGAGCCGCTTGTGATTCTGTCAACTTCGCGAACAGACTTCCACACTCTCTCCCACTTCCCGCTCTTTCCTCTCCTCCACACCCACCCGCTTCGCTCGTTGCTGCACAGACAGATTGAAGCTGTCGCGACAGGTGCATGACCCGCTCGCAAACACTTCGACAACAGAGACAGACTACCACATTGCAACTGTCGGTGTATTAGTGCCCACTGTGGGATGCTCCTATTCACCCACATGCGCACTGAATTTAACACTTGCTGCATCCTCGTACCCCCACTTCGTCTCCTCTCAGCGTAACCCGCTTATCTGCGCCGATGTCCCTTCGACTTCCACTCCGGAATTACAGAAATTCTAGCTAAGTGAAGATTTAGCGTTATGAATTACGTTCTTGTGTCTTATTTTCTTTAAATTTTCTCCATCCCAGCTTCACGTTCATTATTAAGCCATTCTTTATTAGTTCATGCAATTTTATCCTAGGTCATACTTTCATATGCCCTGTTTTCGTATCATACGTAAATCGGTAGAATAGTCAAGAATGAGTGGGGAG